AAGACTCCAGAACAACCTAGTCCTTCTCGGATTAGGACTCCAGAAAAACCTAGTCTTTCTCGGACTAGGACTCCAATTAGATAAGCATCTTGGTGATCTCGAAGCATCCTAACCTCTTTAGGACTAGGAGTCCTTTGAGTGAACACCATGTAAATTAAGTTGATGTCAACCTCATGTACACTAGGCCCAGGCTCATGGACCAATGGGCCCACAAGCCCACCTGGGTCCAAGTGGACAAATATGGTGATCAAGCTCAAACACACCTTGACCACTAAAATCGAGCTCAGCCTGACCATAGGCTGGAGCTCAACTCGGTCATCGTGCTTTGGCCCAGCTCAACCTAGACGTATTTTACCTGAGAAACATGAATTATCCTTCTCTTCAAATCCCATCATCACTGAGGCTCTAGCTGACTCTTAAGAACTCAAAATGTTTAGTACTACATTGTAGGGGCATATAATAATTAGTATCCCAGTTGTTGCATGCAACTGGCTAACTAGAAATAATGAAAGTTGTTGCTCAGATTAAAGTTCAAATTGATCAAAACTCTCACATTCGGATCAAATTAATCTTAGCAAGTTGCGATGCATGGCTAATGCTTGCTTAGCTATTGGTCACCTAAGAAGGAGGTGCTCATAACTAAGTATTTTGATATGAAAAGAAATGAACCAATATGCCATTTGGTAATGCCTACCATTGGGAATTTGAAAAGCTCTGGACTTTGACAATGTCTCATTCTCTGTAAGAATTTTTACAAACACCACATTTTCTCAAAATTATTGTAAGACCTATGAGCTTGGTGAGCAATCCCACATTGCTAGGGGAGAGAAAGGTGAAGTGCCTTATATGTGTGGATACTTCTCTTCTTAGTAAGAGGCCTTTTGGGCAAGATATCATTAGCTTGAGCCCAAGAACAAAACTGTGAAGGGGAGACCTAAAGCGAACAATGTCTTGCTAGTGGAGACAAAACTGATTGAGGGGAGCATGTTGAGCAAATTATACAACTCTAATATAGATTTGTTGGAGACAAAACAAGTAAACAATTTACTTGTATTAGACTCACAAAATATTATAACAAGACAACTCTCAAAGAAAAGACCAACTCTTACAAGCACTATTTCTCACTTCTAGAGACAAACTCTAAAACACTCACACTTCTCACAAGGACTACTTAGCTCTATAACTTATTGCTCACTCTTCTTATTGACATTCTTCACTTCTTGATTGGTTGATTATACAACCATGCCTATTTATAGTTGTTCCTAGCAGACTTTGCCAAGTTCCACCGACTTGGGACTTCTTCTCCTAGCCACATATTGTTTCTTCTCTAGATAATTTTCCAAGCTTTAATTTGGTTGCCAACTTGCTTAGCCGACTTTGGCTTTCTTCTTTCCAGACTTATACTAACCGACATACCATTCTAGAGTTTGGGGTTGCACCAACTTTTGTAGAATTAACTATAGTATTCTAATACAATATCAAATAGCTAGGTCAGTGAACTTTTCTTCACTTTTTCAGATTTTTCTATAATTGTCTAGTTTAAGTGTTGGCAATCTTCCATGGGCTATGGGCTGGTGGTGATGTTTTAACACTCCCCCTCAACACTAGCTCAAATTCTTTACATTACATTAAGCTGTCGTGAAAAATTTTCGAACTTGCCTGTACTCAAACCTTTTGTGAATAAGTCCGCAACTTGATCATCTGTACTGATATGCCTCATCTCAATTTCTTCTTGCAGAACCTTCTCTCTGATAAAATGGTAGTGTATCTCGACATGTTTGGTTCTTGCATGAAAGACTGGATTTTCCACAAAACGAACTGCCAATTGATTATCACAATATAACTGCACTGAATAATCTACCAATTGATGTAGATCATTCATCAGCTGTGTCAACCATGTGATCTCCAAATTAGGGAATTAGGAACACAAGGTTATGACCACACACCATGGCTTAACCATACTTTAGCTAGAATCAATCCATTAATCTAATTGAACTTGGGAACTTATTTGCTTGAGTTACTTTCTTATTTTCTTTTTTCCTTCTTTCATGTTCTTTGTTTTTGTTTCTGTTTTGTATAGGGAAAATGAATTGGATCATTCAATCACCAATCCTCGTGGGATCGACCTCGCACTTACATATGCTATACTACCAAACGGCTCGTGCACTTGCGAGTATCACAAGTTGAGGATGCAACTGAATCCATTTTGGTGCAGCTGTATCTACACAACAGCAGCCCAATGATCTACATCAATTGGTAGATTATTCAGTGCCGTTATATTGTGATAATCAATCGGCAGTTTGTTTGGCTGAAGATCCAGTCTTTCATGTAAGAACCAAACATGTCGAGATACACTACCATTTTATCAGGTAGAATGTTCTACAAGAAGAAATTGAGATGAGGCATACCAGTACAGATGATCAAGTTGCGGACTTATTCACAAAAGTTTTGAGTACAAACAAGTTCGAAAATTTTCAACGACAACACAATATAATGCAAAGAATGTGAGCTAGTGTTGAGGGGGAGTGTTAAAACATCACCACCAGCCCATAGCCCAAGGGAATGAAGACTAGCCCATGGAAGATTGCCAACACTTGAACTAGACAATTATAGAAAAATTTGAAAAAGTGAAGAGAAGTTCACTGACCTAGCTATTAAATATTGTATTAGAATACTATAGTTAATTCTAGAAAAGTTGGTGCAACCCCAAACTCTAGAATGGTATGTCAGTTAGTATAAGTCTGGAAAGAAAAAAGCCAAAGTCGGCTAAGCAAGTTGGCAACCAAATTAAAGCTTGGAGAATTATCTAGAGAAGAAACAATATGTGGCTAGGAGAAGAAGTCCCAAGTCGGTGGAACTTGGCAAAGTCGGCTAGGAACAACTATAAATAGGCATGAAGCCATGCATTGTATAATCAACCAATCAAGAAGTGAAGACTGTCAATAAGATGAGTGAGCAATAAGCTATAGAGCTAAGTATAGTCCTTGTGAGAAGTGTGAGTGTTCTAGAGTTTGTCCTACAAGTGAGAAAGAGTGCTTGTAAGAGTTGGTCTTTCCTTTTTGATAAAAGTGTTGCAAACGTGTCCTATGCTTTCTTTGGTGTTTTGGCTTTCCTTATGTGCTCCAATATTTCTTCTTCAATTGATGTCTTTAGGGCAAACATGGCTTTACCTGCTTTGATCTTCCACTTACGCAAAGTGTCATTGTTGTCTTCTCGTGGTTGTGTAATATCGTTGCCCACGACGACATCCCAAAGATCTTGACCTTGCATATAAGATTCCATACATGTAGCCCACGTGTTGTAATTTTTGTTGTTGAGCTTCGTGATTTCTCCAACTACGTGAAGATCCTTCATCGTGTCGGCAGAATTCTGGTAGTACCGAATAAGCTTGATCTAAAGATGCAAACTTGTTGAGACAAACTCGTCACGACTCAAAGAAGCTCCCACAGGATACCAATTGTTGAGCAAATTTACTTGTATTAGACTCACAAAATATTATAACAAGACAACTCTCAAAGGAAATGCCAACTCTTACAAGCACTCTTTCTCACTTCTAGAGACAAACTCTAAAACACTCACACTTCTCACAAGGACTACTTAGCTCTATAACTTATTGCTCACTCTTCTTATTGACATTCTTCACTTCTTGATGTTATAAAAAATATACAAAATATAGTTTTCCTTTTCCGTAAAGCCAAACA